ACATTCCCCCTGACGAGTGAGTGAGCCGTGAAGAAGACAGAAGACAACAATACACTTGTGCTCATTGTGGATGTCAAGGCCAACCAGCACCAGATCAAACAGCCTGTGAAGAAGCTCTATGACATTGACGTGGCCAAGGTCAACACCCAGATCCGGCCTGATGGGGAGAAAAAGGCTCGTGTTCTACTGGCTCTCGACTCGTGTACTTTGGAAGCTGCCAACATTGGATCATCTAAACTGATTCCAGCTGGCTAATTCTAAATATAAAAATTGTTTTCACTGTAAAAAAAAAAAAAGAAAGGAAAAAAAACCTCTGGGGGTGGGTCAAGCTCTCCCACAACTTGTTTATCACATTTCTCTGATTGCATGTTAGCTGCAAGGCCTTCGGTTTCAGAGCTTCGTGAACAAGCGAGTGGAGCACAAAGTACATAGTTTCCTTCTTGCAGGTTTCTCTCACATTATCTGTGATCTCATGGGGCTCTTGCCACTAGGCTAGGGGGTGGGTGTCATTCCTCATGCCCTCCCTCACAGGAGCAGGGGAGGGGACAGATCCCCAGCACTCTCTCATCAGCTAAAAGCTCTCTACCTCGAAGGCTCTCTTCAACCATTAATCTTTTTGAACTTCTAGTTTTCTACTAGGTAGAGTGAAAGCAGATGATGGTCAGTGTCAGATCCAGTTGGTTTTTAGCAAGTCTTAAATAAATGTGGGCACCATTTTTCTCTGCTTTGAGTCTTCTACTCAAACTCCAAAGTGATAGAAAGTCCCAATTAACATCTTAGTAAACAGAGTTTTGTGATTAGTTGATGGATGTCTGTCCTCCCTACTAGAATTTTCCTCTACAAAGGCTCTACATTTGTCTTCCACTGAGCACCAAGACCAAGCATTCAGAATCTGGACTATAGTAGCAGCTCAATAAATATGTAATCAGCTAATGAATAAAAAGAACAGATGAAAGAGGAAGAAGACCAGGAACTGTATCACTGAAACTCCTTGGTTTGGAAGGACTAACAGAGGAGGCATTGTTGGAGCAAGAGTAGATAAGGCAAAGATTACCAAAGACTGGCTGCCCTTCTGGAATTACCCATAGAACTTTTGAAAAATAAAAATGCTCAGACCTGGTTCAGAGGTATGCTGATTCAATAGATCTTGCTAAAAATCAGTGAGCTAAGGTGCATGAGAGAGTCCAAAATGTGTGCCAGGAGAATTAATGGAACACAAGGCTACAACTGGTTGGGAGAATCAAGGAGACTTTCTGGCAAAAAGAGGATGCACGTGAAAAGGTAAAGAAAGGGGCATAGGAAAACATGGCTGGCAGAAACTTGCAAGCCAGAGGAGGTGATATAAACAAGGCACTAAGGCTAGAAAGAGATTATATTCCAGGCAGACTCTAATGCTGTCAGATATGCAATTCTCCTGGCTGCAAGGGAGAGTCAGGTATGCAATTCTCCTGGCTGCAAGGGAGAGTCAGGTATGCAATTCTCCTGGCTGCAAGCTGTTTGAATGCAGAAACCTTGACTTGTAAATGGCAAAACCCTAGAAAGGTAAATGGGATAGTGGTCAAGTGGGCCAACTGTGGCTCAGTCAGACTGCTTAATTCCTTATCTATGGAGAGAAGATGACAACATGACTCACCTCAAGAGGTTGAAGTGAGGATTAAAAGAGATGATGGTGTAATGTCTTAGCACATAAATGTTCATTATATATCATTAGAACCTTCTATTTGTACTCATTACAGTACCTGGAATTGGCACATATAGCAATGGTATGCTGAGTCAGCTTAGACCAGCTTGCAAGGGCCAATTCTGCACACATCTTCCCAACTTTGCGTTCAGTGAAGGTCACGTTCATAGCTTCAAATTGGCCATGATGGGAGTATTTACACCAAGTAAATTGACAAAGCTGTAAATCTGAATCTTTTTTATGGAAACTAGTTTACCAGCACACTGTGAGATCCTCTGTGAACATGCATTATAATTAGTCTGTATTGAACTGAATTCAGCTGAAAAGTGAGTTGAAGCTATGGGAGAACAAAGGCACAAGCTAAGAGAAAAAAATCATCTGCCCGTCAAAAACAGAACAGAACCCTGGCCTTGGTATGAGTAACAAGTAAAAATGGAGTCTCCCATTTTACTCCAAGCCAATACTCCCTTCAGCATATTCTTCTACCCATCAATCACTTTTTACCACTGCCTCTAAAATAAGTGTGAAAATAAGAGAGTGAAATAGTCACTAACAAGCTTTAGCTACATCTGAGGTCTGAATGTCCAAGGAGACTATTCTGTGAAGAAGAAGAAAAAGAAGGAGGAGACACCCAGGAATACGCAGCTTTTAGCTAATTATCTCAGATTTTAAAAATAAAAAAGGAATCAAATACTGAAGAACAAAAATATTCTGGCACTTTAATAATACAGGAAACCTTATCATCAACACTGAAGGGAAATTGAGGAAGTTGCAAATGGCATAGAAAAAGCAAATGCGTATACCCACAAATTGTATCGACACTTGGCCAAGTTAAAGCAGAAAAATTAGAATATATCTAACTCTTGGAGGTCAAAAAACAACACATTCATCTGTAAGCTTTCTGATGGAGATTGTGCTGTTCTAAAGAAAGCAAATAGAAAAGCCCTTTAAGAAGAAGTCATCGCTTTTAAACAAGTAAATGAACATATCCAAAAGCCAGAACATCTGACATTAAACTTGTAGGGACTGGAGTCTAGTTCAGCCTTTTAGAAGATTTCAATATGGAGTGTGAGGGGATTTCTTAAAAGTCAGATAGTCAGAGCTCTACACACGGCAAAATATTGTTCTGTGATGTTATGTTAGGAGTGAGCGAATGAAAACATTTAGCCTGTATGACCTGCTTTGTGAGTTTAAGTTCAAATACAGTCCTGTTTGTTTTAGTTGCTAGGGTCCTACTTGTTTTTCTGGCAGGTAGACTAGTCAAGATTTAAATCCTCTCCTCCAGGAATGATCTAGGAAGTCTACGGGCTTGCTTCATCCCAAAGGGGTCATCTCTACTTTCAACCCAGCTAGAAAGTGGAAAGCAAAACCTTTGATTTTCTGCTCTCCCTGTTGCTACAGTTGCCACCAAACAGTGATGCTCTAGTCATGCACAATAGATGCTCATCCATTTGTAGAGGGTGTTCTTGAGGATCCCAGGATTAACTCTTTATTACCTCTTTACTAATATGATGACTTGTATTTCACCACCATGTGTTCAACTGTCCCTCACAGGGTAACTGCTATGACAGAATGACCGTGAAAGTTTCAGCCTCGTTCACATACTGTACCAAAACTGGCCACCCCCAAATCCTTTAGGTCTTTTTACCCAGATTCCCACTGGCCTCCTGGTCAAGTCCATCCTGTGGTGGTGCTTTATTTCACAACAGGCTTTGAAACAGGCCAACCCCACTGTCCATTACTAATGTCCCTAAATGTGCATCATGGAGAGAAAAGGCTGACCCTTGGTTCCTTTCTCTTTTAAGGGCCTACACACTTTAAGCAAATAATCTCAAGCCCTCTCCAGCGAAGGGTGTCGGAGAGGAAAAACCTCCATTGAGCCGCTACCAAATTCCTCCTTTTGTGTACAGCACAGAAAGAGTCATTTGAGTGATTTGTCTCCATAACAACAAAAGCAGACTTTCAGGGAGACTTGTGTCTCTACCTAGATGCGCTGAAGTGGCTGATTCCATTTTCTTTTTTTTTTAATATATTTTATTGATTATGTCATTACAGTTCTATTTCCCCCTTCATTCCCCTCCATTTTCTTACACTCTATCTCCTGAGGCACAAGTAGTCCATTAGAGAATAGGAAGAACAGTGAGGAGACCTAGAAATAATCAAGGATGACCATTCTATTTTGAAAATGAGAAAAGCCCAGAGACTTTCTGACGAAGATCCTACTCTGTAATATGGTGGTTACCAGGCAATAAGAGGGAGAAGGTAACATGGATTGTGGTTATGGTACACATTTGTAAAGAGTAGTAAATAAGCCAGAAAGGATAATGACTATAGACAATAATATTGTACTGTAATTATGTAATGTAATAGTATGACAGTGGCAATCATATTACAATATGTAAATTATTTCAGGGTGACACTCTGTCCACCTTTAACTTATACAGCATTGCATGACAAATGTATTTAATTAAAAAAAAACTTCGTTTGGCAAAAACCTGTGCTTCACTTCTGTGTTTAAGGAATTGCTTTTACCACCTATGTTGGCATTTGGATTTTGGACAGCCCACAAATTCAAAAGATGATCTCAGTCTCCTCCGGGTGGGAGGCAGGATAGCAAAGGCACAATAAAGCTTATGGAAATGGGGAGCCCACCAAGTGTCTTGGTCAGGTTTGTGGTCAGTGTTCACCCCTTTACTTTGGAAATATTTCTTCCAATGAGTGTTCTCAATGGCTTGAGAAGGAGGGTGGGGGGAAGCAAGGGAATAACAAGATTTTTCAGTCCCTTCATTTCCATACATGGCGTCATTCATAATCTAGTACTGTTGCTAAGGAGATATCTAAGTACCTGCTAGAAAGAAACAAAGGAACTGATTGCATCGAAGATGAGTCGTCACAGGATTTTGATGAACCATTCAGCCTTTTGAGGTGTTAAGATCAGTTCTCTAAGGGAACAAAGACATATTAGTCTGCTAAGAATATCCGATTATTTATCCCTTTAGCAGAGAACAAAGAAAACATCACGACTGTATTCATAACTTCACTTCATTTTGCAGCATGTAGGGCTAGAAGCCATTTTCCTGACAAGGTTATCAGATTAGGGACATTGCCCCTTGTGATTCCCTGAGACACCACCCAATGCCCAGAATCTGAAGACTCTACCTTGAAAACTCTCAAAGAGGAAATGATTCTTTTTTTCTAAGTTGATGACTGATTTCCAGTCAGTGAGTAATTTTTTTCCCTGAAATATCCACTCAGTGGAAAACAAATGAAGAAGGGGAAAAAATGAAGCAAACAAATCTGAAAAAGAGGCCACAACACAGAGATGGAGGCGCCTCTAAACTTTGTCAACAAAAGCAAACGCTTGAGGTTTATGTCAAACAAAGCCATAATTTTAACCAACCTCTGGCTGCGCCTCGCTCAATGAATGACTTCCAGGGCCTCTGACTCTTTGGGACTAGAGGAGAAAATTATTTTTAGCACAACTATTTGGAAACCTCTGAGAACTTGGATCTGTTTTTCTACGTGGTACCAACGCAAGTTTCTCTCTGAGCTCTCATGAAAGACTCTCGGTCTCCTGTGGATTTAGAATCCTGGAGCAGCCCATTATCCCAGAGCAAGGTATGGTGTTTACTCTTTTTGTTGAGAATGTTGGCAGATGTGGGTACCATGGCCGTAGCTTTATGGTAGCTTTTGGTGTATTAAATAGACAGGACTGTAAGAGCAATCCATGAAACTGAAAACCTAGGTTCAAATCTCTGGTCTGACACTGGCTTTGTGACCATGAAGAAGTCACCTGACTTCCCTGAACACCGGCTCCCTGTCCAACCTACCACACAAGGGTCTTTGGGAAGAGGATACAAGCCTAACATTGCTCTGTTAACTACAGTATGTTCGACAAATGTCAGTATTTCTCACTGTTGTACCATCATAGCCCTTTACAGAAAGCAGCCGATGCTGTTGATAAAAATAAATATTGGTGAATGAACATTTTTCTTCATTCAGATTTCTTGGGCCTGTCTTGTAGACCAGCCTTTGTCCTGAATGTTGGTGATACAGAGTTTATAGGTTGGTGGAGGAAAAGCACATAAATAGCCATCCCACAGTGTGGTGTGTGGTCTTGTGGGAGATGTAGGGATGGGAGAAGGGGCGGTCATCCAGGGCCCATGGGAGGAGCAGGTCTCAGGAGGAAAAATGGAGCCTCAGAGTCAGATAGGAGGACCCACAAAACACAAGCTCTGGGGCACAAGTGCCTAAGGTCCCCCCCATCCTGGGTCACTCACGGTGCCATTCCTCAGTGCAGCCAGAGAAGGAAAAGCCCGTGATTGTGAAATCTCTCCTCCGCAGGCCAAGGATCTGACTCGTTTTGGCTGCCCCTGGTTACCTAGCCTCTTCCTAATCATTTCCAGGCAAAACACATTTTCGACTTGAATTAATAATCGAGTCCAGCCCTCTGTCACAAACTAATGTTATAGTTTCCCTCGCATGAAATAGGGGAGAACCAAAGTATTTGCAAACAAAAAGAGCTCAGTTCAAGTCCTTCAGAGCCATTTTTATGGCTGTGTGGACTTGTACCCTCAGTCTCGGTGTTCTCATTTGCAAAATAAAATGTTGTCTTTAAAACGCCCAGCACTGAAATAAGAAAAGTAATATGTCTTCTTCATCCCCATATTTAGTATTTTAATTGTGATAAAATATACATAATGCAAAGTTTGCTGTTTTTAAGTGTGCAGTTCTGTGGCATTAACCACGGGCACCTTGTTGTTGGACCCCCCACCCACCCCGTCCATCCCCAGAGCTTGTCACCCTTCCCAGCTGAGACTCCATCCGCAGTAAACACAGCTCCTCTCCCCCACTCCCAGCCCCTGGCAATCGCCAATCTACTTCCTATCAACCGCCGAGACCATTCTGGTGACATCATGCAGGTAGAACCACTCAACACCAGTCAGCATAAAGTCTTTAAGACACTTCCATGCTGCAGTGCGTCTCGAAGTTTCCTTCCTTTTAAAGGTGGAACACTATTCCACTGTAGGCCTGTACCCTACTTCCTTTACCCACTCACCTGTCGGTGGACACGCGGGCTGCTTCCACCTTTTGGCTAGTGTGATTATTGCTGCTGTGAACATGGATGTGCAGGTATTTGTTGAGTCCCTGTTTTTACTTCTTTTGGGAGTGTACCCAGAAGTGCAACTGTTGGATCTCATGGTGATTCTGTATGAAATTCTCGGAGGAATCTCTGTACTGCTTTGCACAGCAGCCACACCATTGTACAGTTCTGCCAATTACAGTTTTGTCCAGTTTTATCATGATGTAATTGACATATAATATTGTGTGAGCGTACGGGGTACAATGTGAGGGTTTGATACCCAGTCTCTCATGGATTTATAATCTTAATTATTCTGAAATGATTACCACAATCAGATTAGTTAACACGTCCATCACCTCCCATAACTATCATTTTGCGTGTATAGAGAGAACATTTAAGATTCACTCCTTCAGCAACTTTCAAGGATCTCATACAGTACTGTCCATGAAAGACACCATGCTGGACATTAGAGTCCCAAACATATTCATCTTTTAACTGGAAGTTTGACCACTCAATCAATATCTCCCCCTTTCTCCCACCCCCAGGTCCCTGACGACCACCATTTTACTCCATGTTTCTGTGATTTCAGCTGTTTAGATTCCACATATAAGTGATGTTATACAGTCTTTTTCTTTCTGTCTGATTTATTTCACTTAGTATATGCCTTCATATTTCATCTGTTTTGTCACAAATGGCAAGATGTCCTTCTTTTGACGGCGGAATGGTATTCCTTTGTATTTGTGTTGTATTTTCTTTCCCCATCCATCTGGGCGTGTCCATCTGTGGGGAGACGCCCAGGTCGTTTCTGCATCGGGGATGCTGTGAATGATGCTGCGTGGACACGGGAACACAGAGAGCTCTCCAACATTCTGTTTTCGTTTCTTTTGGATAAAAACCCAGAAGTGGAATTGCCGGATCACATGATAGTTCTATTTTTAATTTTTTAAGTTGTTTTTGAGCAGGCATACTGTTTTCCTTAGTGGCTGTACAAATGCAGGAGGGCTCCCCTTTCTCCTCATCCTCACGAACGGTTCTCATCTCGCTCTGGTAACAGCCATCCTGATAGGTGCTAGGTGATACCCTGCTGTGGTTTGGATCTGCATGTCCCTGATAATTAGTGATGCTGAGCATCTTTTCATGTAGCTGTCAGCCTGTCCTCTTTGGGACAATGTCTGTTCAGATCTTTAGCCCACTTTCGATCGGATTATTTATTTTTCACTATTGAGTTGTATGTTTTGGATAGTAATGCCCTCTCTGATAGGCGGTTTGCAAACATGTCCCCCCATCCTGTGGGCTGCCTTTTCCTTTCATTGGTGGTTTTCTTTGCTGTGCAGGAAGTTTTATGTTTGCTGGAGTCTCAGCCATTTATTTTTGCTCCTGTGGCTGTGCTTCCATGTCATATCCAAAAAACGCTGTTGCCAAAACCAACGTTAAGCATTCTTTCCTGTTTTCGTCTAGAGCTTTTGTGGTTTCAGGTCTCAAGTCAATTTCAAGTGAATTTTTTAAGTGGTGTAAGTTGGGGTCCAATTTCGTTCTTTTGCATGTGAATACCCAGTTTTCCCACCACCATTTACTGAAGAGACTACTCTTTGTCCATCGAGTATTCTGGGCTCTCTTGTCAAATAGCATTTGACTGTACATACATGGGTTTGTTTATTTTTTAAAATAAAGGGGAAAATGCTATTTATAAAGGGATCACCGTCTGGGAACACATTTTCTAGAAGTTTGATTTTGCACTGATTTATTTAGTATTCCTCCTAGTGTTTTCCGTGTCTGGTTTAGCAAGAACAAAGGGTTCCATCTCAAAAGGGAAAAGAAACACCCTACAGAATACTATATGCTACATTCCCACCCTATGAATTCAAAGCACATGTTAACACCCAGGTTCTGAAACCTACGGTGCCGCAAAGTAATTTTTTCAGTATGTGCCTAAAAAACTAAATACCAGTTACTCTGTAATGCCTGCCGAAAAATAGAACAGAGGTTCATTTACAATTAACATCAAGGACAGATCTGCTCAAGAGTACCAATATTTCCAGAGCTTTGATTTTCTAACTCCAAAGAAGCATAATGGGGGAGAAAGACCTTTTAGCACATATTCTACAAATCTGCATAATTCAATGTAATCCTTCAAAGCACTTTGTATGAGAAGTGACTGCTAATGTGTATGAGGATTTTTTGAAGTTTTGAAAATGTTCTAAAATCAGATTGTGGTGTACACGGAGTTGTATACTTTAAGTAGGTCAATTTTATGCTGTGTAAATTAAATCTCAATAAAGCTGTTGAAACACATTGTAATTTTTATAAAGAGCCATGACACACACAGGTCAGTCCCAGCCAAAATAACCAATTAATTGCAAACCAGTGGGACAGTGAGGGAAGGATGAATTATTCAACATAAGTTGTTGAAGTACGAAGTTGGGTTTCTACCTTACACACCTCATCAGAAAAGTGCTGATGAGGTGTGTAAGGGTCAAATAATCTTGAAGTAAAGAAGTTTTTATAAACAGAATAAATTAAACCTAAAAATGTGTTTCCGTGATAAAAAAAATTTTTTTAAATACATGAGTAAAACAAAAAGGCAAACTGGAAAAAGCTTTTTAAACCATGCACAAAAATTATATATATAGTGATATTCATTGAACTCTATGGACATACTCATCACTCTATTATTAGTAATAGTACAAGAATGAAAATATACAAAATATCCATCAGTATGAGACGGGGTAAATGCAACACACCTGTGTGGTGGGTATTCTATAACCTCTAAAAATAACGAGGCAACTCTGCATTCCCTGCCAACAAAAAGATCTCCAAGATGTGAAAAAGCAAGGTACAGAAAGGGATGTGCAAGCACCAACACGGGGAAGAGGACACGTAGGAAAAGAGCGACGGTGTTGCCTCCGGGACAGGAAATTGCAAGCCCCTTCTGTGCCTTGCGTTTTAGAGACTGAGAGGAAGAAGAATTTGATCTTTTTTGCATACTCTAGCTTTTAAATTTATGAATGTACATGTTCTGCCCATACAAAAATGCATATTTAAAACATTTTAAATGCTCTAGACTATGAAAAATTAAAACAACCCGAGTCTTTTACTTGTATTTCTCAAACTCTGCAAAAGGAATGTTTCTTTAAATCCTCTCCTTCCTCTTTCTTGTGATACTGTCATAATCCATTCTCTCTGGTTGTCTTTTCTTTCCACAAAACTCACATTTTCCACAAAAATTAAAACCTTCTCCTCTGTCCCCAGCCTGAGTCTCGGGGTGTGCCAAACACTGAGATAGTTGGAGAGGTCAGTGACTCCAAGATCCGGCCTCACAGAACTTTCCTCCTAGCAGATGGAAATGTCCAACATGAAAAAGAACAACAAAGATAAGAATAATCTAGTGAGTTACAGGGAAATAAGTACAATATGGAAGAGAAAACATCAGCAGGGTGAGAGAGGGTCAGAAAGTAGGGGAAGGTGGATTGCAATATTCAATAAGGGGGTAAAAGCTGGCTTTAGTGAGAGGGTGGGGTTTCAGCCAAGAGTTAAAGAAGGAGATGAGAGAATGAAGCAAGTCGACATCTGGGAGACTGAGAACTAGAGAGAAAGTACAAAGATGCCAAAGCAGACCACTCGGCATCTTTGAGGATCACCAAGAAATTCAGTGTGACGGGAGCTGAGAAAGGGAAAAGGAGAAGAGTAGAAGATGGATTCAGGGAAGATGGAGGCTCGGTGCCCAGCCAAGAAGGTCCTTATAGACCATCCACCATTGTTGCTGAAATCACCCAGACTGTAAGCAAGCAGACCGGGCCCGTCCATGTGTTACCCTGGTGAACAGCCCAACAATTACTGTGGGATGGAGCAGATCTTTATTTACAACGTTCCAATCTTGGGGGATGCTCAGAGCACCTCAGCTCAGAGCCCTCCTTTCCCACAAGACCTGGCACTTTTCATGCTTCCCATAAGACTGTAAGCCGGAACCCCCCAAAAGTTCCCATATCATTATCTGTGCAGAGTCTGGGATACGTTGCCATCAGCCTACGTATAATAGTCCAGGAAAGAATGTTCCCTATTAGTCTGGATCATGGTGAAATTCAGGAAAGGGCACAAGCCTTAATAGTCCGGATGAAGTCCAGGCTAAAGAAGCACCTGGTCTGCAAAGCAGCATCTTGCAAAGAAGTCCTTCACAGCTCTGGAGTCAGCCAGGGCTGACACGATCACAGCAGCAGGGCACAGCCTAACCATTTACTATGGACAGCAGACAGCATGCCTGTGCCCTCACTAGTACTCCCTGCATGGCCTAGAGCACTTCTCCTTCCTAAGCTGCGTGGTCAGGAAGAGCTCTGCACAGCTGCTATGTCATGCTTTTCTTCTCCAAGCCACATGCCAGAGAGAGAGAGAGCCCTTTCATGACTCTGACTCCCTTCCATGCCCCCTGGTCAAGAGAACCAGGCTGCCCTAAGCTTGAGTTTAAATCCCAGCCTGTCCTTTTTCTGTAACCCCATTTCCAACTCCTCCCACAAAGGGTTACACCAGCCCACCCTCCAGTTTCTCCTGCCTTTCTCCAGTTTCCATTGTTAATCTGGGCAGGGGTGGCTCTATGATGCAGGGGAACCTTCTTCCCACTCCCACACAGGGACAGCAACCGGGGAACGGCCTCCCAGCTACATCAAGAGTTGAAGTCACACCCATCTCCCTTGCCCCCAGGGCAGCAGTCTAACCATTTAGCAAATACTGTCCAGTAGTTATTGACATGCAAAGTACCTCTCCACCAATGTGTCTGCTTCTCCATCCCCCTAGTGATGGCCGTGGGGGGTTTTCCTGTATTCCTGGACACCTGAAGTTATGAACCTCATTCCACACCTGTTACACCATCAGGCTTTTGACTTTAAGTGAAATAAAGAACCATTGCAGGGTGATGCCCCTGCAGTTTTCCATTATAATCCATCCCCATTTGTCATCCTGATGAGTTGAGTCCCAAAACTGGACTGGCCACTCAAAACCAGACCATCATCACTCATCAGGCACCATAATGCATTGTTCCTCGATTCTGATGAAGATTGTTAACAGATCATCATTTTGAGTGCCTTTCAGGAAATTCCAGCTGAGGATGCTTCCAGCACTTAGATGACTGTACAGGAAATGTTCTAGTGCACTTGTCCACGAGAAGCAAACCATTCACTCTGCAAATGCATTTGTTCCCATCACTTACTCCCCCATTGAGCATCTCGTGCCTGGAAATAGTGATACCCTCGGTTCCCAGCATCCCTAAAATTTCTGCTCCTTCCATCCACCATAACTGAGACCCTCACTGCATGCTTCTTCATAGACTGATCCCTGATTCGCCTTTTCGTCAGAGTGTCTGAGATGTCACTGCCCAACATGACTTCTTTCCAGGTCATTTCAATTCCCTCTCTGAACCAACTCCTGGCCTGAGCTACAGCATCCCAGCCTCCGTCTATAGATTAACAGCTTTTTTATGACTATCTTCTATGAGCATGTTTTTAAATCCCTTCTCAAAACCTCCTCTGATTAGATTTTCACAAGAAAGAAGAATAGCAATGTAATTATTGCATCTTTTTAAATTGTGGCAAGAAGTGGAGATAAAAGGCTCTTCCATTTCCTTCATCTGACATGCATGTGAATGGTTGTGTTTTTAGCAGATCCACTAGATTTTTCAGAAACTGCCTTAATCCAATTTGAGCCATAGAATCAGTAATCTTAAATATTTTTATTGAATTTATTGGGGTGACATTGGCTAATAATATTATATAGGTTCCAAGTGTGCAATTCTACTTGAGCTTGTGCTGTATAAGAAATCTTGCATGATGAAGATGTTGATTTGAAGGAAGGGCCCACTGGTAACATGGAAATTTGCTCATGGAGACAGAGCCTATATTTGGATAAGTTGCTTCAGTTTTTCACGAATAAGATTTCTAGGAATCAGATCTGTTTCAAACCACATGTGCACACTGTTTTTCTTGGTTTGTCATTCCTACGATCTGGCAAATTTCTGGGTCTAATTCCAAGATGTTGCAATTTCCCCATGGGTACCATAAAAGTGGTACAGTGTGCCTGGTTCATTTTCTGATGTGACTGTCCAAAGAAGCAAAGAAACGTTATCTGATTGCTTCCCCTACATTTTATAATTTCCTCCTTGGGTAAGTATATATCAGGTATATACATGAAGCACTGCACAGACTTCCTATTAAAGCAGAGGTCCAACTATCTAAAAACTACTCATTCATGTGGCCCCTGAACAACATCTATACATTCTGCCAATCCGAGATGCTGCTAATGCTAAGGACATTTAGGAAAGAAAAATCAGGTGTCCTTAACCTACGCTGCACACCCTCCAACTTATATGCCAAATGTCATGACAGTAAATGACCCATCCTTCTCAGTTGCCAGACTTAAGTGGGGGAGAAACCAAGTCCTACCAGCTCATAGCTGAAGTGACCTGTTGCCTGCCTCGCTCAGAGCACTTGGTACTACGCACGCTTTGATTTTGCTCAGCTCTTTGATGGAGCCCCAGTGCTGACAGCTTAATGGGACACCATGGCATTTTATCCTGTAGATTTTAAATTAAAGCCTGAGACCCCCTCAGGACATGCAGAGTGCTCCAATTAACACTAATTGGCATTACACATGCTTTTTTAGTAAAGAACATGGTTTTCCTAAAAATGCCACTGTCTTTCTCCTGCTTTAAAAAGCCCAGAAATTCTGAGAAAATGGCCAGGGATGCACGCAAAGATTAGATATAAGGACTCTAGTATGGTGTATATAGTGGCGGAAAACTGGAAAGAATTGTTTATAGTGAGGAATTCTGTCCATAAAGGAGTGTAGAGACAAATCAAATCCACAAGTTATTTTAATGTTATGAGTAATTTTTGACATGGGTAGGAGCTCATGCTATATTGTCAAGTGGAAGAAGTTGAGGAGTAGCATGAATGGCATGATATCACTTCTTTTCTTTGTCGTAGAGAAAAATAGGAAAGATGTAGATATCGAAATGTGAAGAGATTATCCTCAGGTGGTGAAGGAATGTCGATATTTATATTATTTATTTGCATCACTAATTTTTTTAAAATGCATTACTTTGGCGAAAAGAAAACATTGCTTAGCAAAGTCCATCAATGGTTCCTGCAGAAACTGTGCAATGAAGGGATTTAGTTTGAAATTTTTTAAATCAGTCCTTCATCTCCACCAACCCTGTGTGGAATGCTGACAGCTCTCCACCAACGATGCATCGATAGTTTCCAACAGGATTATGAGAGTGAACAGTGTTTTCTTACCTTCATGGAAAGGTGAGCACGGAAGAGACTTGCTGCAAATGCCTATTCTCATGTTCATTTGCACCAAAAGCCCCACCCGAGAAGGTGCATTTATCTCTGTGTGTTTTTCTTGCAGAGCCCAAGATGTTTGTCTTGCTCTATGTTACAAGTTTTGCCATTTGTGCCAGTGGACAACCTCGGGGTAATCAGTTCAAAGGAGAGAACTACTCCCCAAAATACATCTGTAGTATCCCTGGCTTACCAGGACCTCCAGGCCCCCCGGGAGCAAATGGTTCTCCTGGACCCCACGGTCGGATCGGCCTTCCAGGAAGAGATGGAAGAGATGGCAGAAAAGGAGAAAAAGGGGAAAAGGGGGCTGCAGGTAACGAGTGATGAGGCTCTATAAAAAATCCCCTCCTTCACCCCACACGAAAACTGCCCCCTTTCTTTGTTGCTTTTTCCAATGGGAATTGTTCCTTAAATCCCTCCTCTACTTCACCATGATTAATCCTATCAGTTGCTCGCACCTTGACTATGCATCAGGTGCTGCTCCCAACTCTCTGTGTGCATTCTCCTTTTATGGTAGTGGCAACTCTTTCAGGCGGAAGTCATCCTATTTTGTAGATGGGAATACTGAGCAATGCTGTGGTCCAATGAATCACTGAACACAGAAGAGCATTGCTAGTAAATGGCAGAGCTGGATTCCAACATCAGATGTCATGACCATTGCACTGTTACAGTGGCAGGCAGTGTGGCTGGATGTGAGATGGCACTGTGGCTGGACAGACAGATGGACGGGAAGGGAGATGAAAGAGAGGCAGAACTGGGAGCCAAAAGCACGGGGGCCATCCCGCTCTGCACTGATATCCTGAGCAAAGACGTACAAAGGGCTTCTAGGTTTTCTTTTTCGAAGATGAAATGGCAGCAGTACAGGACATCATGCCTGTTTTCTAGTTCATCACTTTCTGACCTGTCCTATAGCAGCAAGAAAAAAAAAAGATTTCTTATAGCTCTGTACAGCAACATAATGTCCCCTAGTCTTTCGTTAATCTTCTCATTTTTCTTACAAAAATAGTTGGCCCAGGAAGCTGCTAGTTTCTGCAATCCTTCAGAGTAAAACAAATTAAAATTCTAGAGAGGCCATGTTAACCCTGAAAGAGGAAGCTATTTGGAATCAATCTTTAAAAACATGTTTCTAAGCATAAAAATTGGGGAAAAAAGATAGACAGAAAATGTCAATAGATCTAAGAAATGGGTCTCTCTACAGAGACCTCGTTTCTTAGATTGCACCGCATCATTGCACCTTGTTTTGTCCTGTTGTATGAAACAATATAATATATATTTAAATTATTGGCTGATCATTCACATCTGAATTTGTCATGCAGTCAATATTTGGCAAATCAGTAGCTACCAAATACATAAATATTGTTCAATGTTAGATAAAGAATCTTTATGTAGAAGTTCATTATCACATTAAAAAATATTCATTTGGAAATTAAATCCTATCTTTCAAACCCTTCCTTCTCTGTAGCAGCACCTCTGAGCACCACTTACTGCTATGTCATGGTCATGAGTGTCCTTGAAATAACATGAGGATCATAATTAGGTATTAGCAACCCTTTCAGTTTACTGTGCCTGGAAGTAATAATACAGTGATTACACAAACATGCCTTGGACTCAGAAAGACAGGATAAAATCTTGGCTTCTTCCATTACTACTTAGTATCCTGGGCAAATAGCCTCTTTGAGCCTTGTTTTCCTCATTTATAAATGAGGAATAGTAAGGGCGATTGGGAAGATTAAGGACAATAATGCATGTAAAACACACAATGGAGTAAGTGCCATGTGGTAAGCATTCAGTAAATGTTAGCTGCTATTACTTAAGACATTTTGATCAGCAAATATGAGTCATAGCTAAGTTCGTGAATACTCAAAGCTACATAATTGACTCAAAATGAATGATCTGGTTTACGAAGTAGTTCTAGTGCTATTTAAAGACATGTTTATGGGTATATATTCAGATTACATCAAGTATTCATAATTGCTACCATTTTAACCACATATGAGGCCAGCTACACCCACCCCCATATTCATCCATCCATAGATTCATTTATCCACTCATGCATTCCACATTCCACAAGATTTTTGCATACCTATTGCTGTCCACAATTGTTCTAGACCAGTGTTTTGCAGCCTCCACACTAATGACACTTTGGACTGAATAATTACTTACTGAGGGATGACGACCCTGTGCACTGTATGACATGTAGCAGCACCCACTACATCCCAGTGGCTCCCCCACCAACTGTGATAACCCAAAATGTCTCGATGTTGCCAACTCCCCCTTAGCGGGCATTGCAAAATCGCTCCTGGTTCAGAACACAGTTCTGGACACTGAGAACACAAATCAGAATACAACGCTGTCCTTCCTTATTAAGCAAACATTTGAGTATGGGAGGCCAGTATGGAAAAACACAATCACAGTAGTGTATTATCATCGTCATCACCATCACCACCATCATAACTATTTATTAAGAACATAATATACCTATGTATCAGAAATTTTACCTTTAGTACTTATTATCCACCATAATCCTATCAGCAGTTATTATAATCAGCAATACTAATAATGCTACAAATGAAAAAATGGAGATTTAAAAATAAAATTACTTTCCCAGCCTGAGATTATTTAAATCCAGTATCCACATATACATTCATGAGAATATGTATCAGCTAAGAAAGGGAAAGTGAGAATGCCTGCCTTTGTGATCGATGAAGAGAAGCAGCCCTTACAAACGAGAGCCACAGAGCCCTGGGGCTCGGGGACAGGCTTTGAATATGGCCAGAAGGGGACACAAAGCTGGGAGCTTCTTTTCCCTCTCCCCACTTCAGTGACCCCGCAAAGGTCTTCTCATCCATGTACCCTTGGGGAACACCTCCACCACATTTACCCCAACCGAGTACAAGCAGAATCAGCATAATTTTGTTTAATTTCACTATTCTAAAGTACAAATACACAGCTTATTGTACTGAATTGTAAATTTTCTGTTAAAATATTTGTCTCGTTCACTGGTCTATAGCAATTACTATTGTATCATATTATTAATATTGAATTTAATTTGAATGTGTATCCACATAAATATCTTCAAATAACAGTAGAACCCCCTCCTGAAATAGGTAATTGTGGTTTATTTCATGGCTTTGGATATTATGAACTTAGCTAAGATCCATATTTGCAGATACAATACATGGGAACAGCAGACTTGAAGGAGCAGGTGGCATTCCTGTCAATGTCTCACTTAGCCCCTGGTGCACTGCCTGGCACGCAGCAGATGGCCAGTCGGCATGAGATGGTTTAGGTGGATGCATGCACACACGCATAAATCCATGGATGCATGGGTGAGTGCATGGATGGATGGAAGAAAGAAATGGCACTGAAAAAAATCTTTGTAAGCCCACACCATAGAGAGTTAAGAAGAAATCCTTTCTCTCCAAGCTTCAGTACTTAAATGCAGATAATACTTTCTCCACAATTCTCTTCTCTACACAATCATGTCTGACCAGGGAGAGGGAGGATGATCTATCCCTTCTTTCTACCCTCCGTTAATTGGTCCCGAGTACAGGGGTAAGTCCGTATGTAAACAGGAAGAATTATTATGTTATTGTAGCTGGCCCCTGATTATCTAACTCCCAGCAGTTCAGCATAGTCAATAACTTCAAAAAATCCAAAGATTGAAATTGTGAAGACCTTTTCACTGTAAAATCATACTTTAGTATTTATGGTTTGAGCTCAAAGAATTTCCAATAGGATGAGACCTCAAGTGACCTAGTCCAATAGCTTCATTCCAAGGTCTGAGAAACTAAAGGCAGGGAAAGGAAACCCCTTTGTTAAATTCACTCCACTCATAGCTGAACTAGGGTTTATCGCTAATCTGCTGAGTCACTGTTTACTGCTTTTCCCACCATGTTTCAAATGAATTTGGATCTAATTTCTTCATATTACAAATGGAGCATTTGGAACTCAGGCAAGAACTGACTTGCCCAAAGTTATAGAGAAAAAAGAATTTGAGTACATAATGAAATTTAATGGTCAAATTGTTACTGATGCCAAAATGTTTTTTTTAAATTAATGCATCAAAAGTCACTGGTGAAGATAGCAAAAGTTAAGCTGCTATCGAAGATAAAATTATAATTTAGAAGTTGTCTTTGACTTAAAAGTTAATTTACTAGCAAAATAATGTTCATATTCTACTTCTTCCAAGAAAAAGCAAATATTGAAATGGCAGACTATTATAACCATATTTCAAGAAATAAATACCAGATTGGGTTCTGGCTGGAGTCAGTGGAATTTCAATTTAAAAACAAATGTCATCTACATGAAGAACAGTTCTATGATCAGTAACTATGCTGATCTTTGTCACCCCCCCAAAAAAAATTGCTTTCATTATTAGCATCTTATGTGCACCATAAATTGGCAAGCAGATCTTTTCCAAAATTATAGAAACAAAATATTTGATGTTTTAAAAATAGGTTTTATTCTTTGAAAATTTACAATATCCAGAATGCTTGCTGCTACATTTTCCAAATAAATGAAAAGTGATCAAACTCATACACCAATGCTTATGTAATAGTCAAATAAATTATATCAAGGCACTATCAAGATGAAGAGGCTTAGCTTAATAAAAGTTCCTGAAAATACACTACACAATTTATCAACAATGTATTTCCCCTGACTACAAAAGTACGCTACAAATAACCAATAATTTGAATATTTTTGAGAAAGTATCATTACACCAACACTATTTATGGAATGGATTTGGCCATAAAATCGAATGACCTTTTTAATGCTACTAATTCATTGCCATTACACATATGATTTAAAATTAAACAGTTGTTGCTTAGCACTTTCAAGCCACGGTCACGATTTCTCTGCATTTAGCCTATGGTTGATCTGGAGACATAAAAAAAATTGGACAAACAGAAAATATTTCACTATGGTGATTTTGAATTTGTTGAAATCTCTTCACAGTGACTATGTCTTTTCTATATGTAAGGAGACCCAGGGAAATTAAGGGATTTGCCTAAAACAATATAACCCTTAGCTGCAGAGCCAAACAGAATTTAAGATTCTTGATTCCAGGCCCAAAGGTAAGAGGCATTTTGATGGAGGGGAAGCATTATTAGGCCAAGACTTGGATTCCAGTCCTAGCCTTGCTTCACCTCTGTGGGACTCAGTTTTTTTCCTCCAAAAAAAAGACTTACTGCACAGCAGTGGCAGTCACTATTGTTAAGTGATTGTAGCATATTGATCCTTCACTATGTGCCAGGCCCCCTTTATGATTCTGCTCTAGCCACTTCCTGGAAATGCTCAGGCTCCAGAGTCAGGCAGGCGTGAGTTCAGACAGCAGCTTCATCGTTCACTAGCTGTTTCCATGAGCAAACAGACATCTCCATGGCTCAGTTTCCTCATCCACAATGGAAGTAATAATAACTCCTGGTTCATGAAATTGTTGCAGAACTTAAAGAAGATAATGCATGTAAATAAAATGCTGTTCTTGGTGCATAGGAAAAGTCCAGTAAATATGAGCTGATCTCATTTTGATTCTTTTGTTAGTAATACTCAGAGTAGAATGGGGCATGAGACTGCAGAGCCTCTGAAGCTCTGCCTGGTTCTGTCCACCCCCCTGACTCTGCTCTGGGGGTAATGTTATCCTCCCGCTCCTTAAATTCCTCCTGTAGTGTTGAGTCTTGCAGGTGGCTCATTTCGTGACAGGTGATCCAGCATCAGAATGATAGTTAATTATTTTAAACTAGTCAGGATTTAAATGACTCCCCACATAGCCAAGTAAATTCACTTGGAATTCTAATGGAAATTTTATATTTCCATTTTAGTGTATTCATGATTCTTTAAATGATTGGTTGTTTGGGAGTATACATTTAAAAGTTATCTGAAGAGATAAACTTAGGATATGCTGGGACAATGTGGACATGCTGTTTGTCACTCTATATTTAAAGAAACTGTTGATTAAACTGCAAACTCTTTATAGGTTTAAGAGGCAAGACTGGACCTCTGGGCCTTGCTGGAGAGAAAGGAGACCAAGGAGAGACTGGGAAGAAAGGACCCATGGGCCCAGAGGGAGAGAAAGGAGAAGTAGGTCCAGCTGGACCTCCTGGACCAAAGGGAGACAGAGGAGAACAAGGGGACCCAGGGCTGCCTGGAGTTTGTAGATGTGGAAGCATCGTGCTCAAATCTGCCTTTTCTGTTGGCATCACAACAAGCTACCCAGAAGAAAGGCTACCAATTATATTTAACAAAGTCCTCTTCAATGAGGGAGAGCACTACAACCCTGCAACAGGCAAGTTCATCTGTGCTTTCCCAGGGATCTATTACTTTTCTTATGATATCACATTGGCTAATAAGCATCTGGCAATTGGGCTGGTCCACAATGGGCAGTACCGGATAAAGACCTTTGATGCCAACACAGGGAACCATGATGTGGCTTCGGGATCCACAGTCATCTATCTACAGCCAGAAGATGAAGTCTGGCTGGAGATCTTCTTCACTGACCAGAACGGCCTCTTCTCAGACCCGGGCTGGGCAGACAGCTTGTTCTCCGGATTTCTACTGTACGTTGACACAGATTATCTAGATTCCATATCAGAAGACGACGAGCTGTGATCAGGACAGCCGACCAGAACATTCCAAAATCCCTGGGGGACATGCTTTGACTCAGTCTGGGGCCCCGGAAGGTGGCGAAAAACAGAAGTGAAAATCCAAAGAGACTCCCACTCAGATTGCAGAGTATTTAACAGCCAGTTCTAGCAAAGCCTATTAAAATGAGATGAACCAGCAAACTGTTGAAACCAAACCAAAATGAATTCTATAAAACAATAACCCCAGATATGAATTCTCTTGAAAACAGTGTTTATAAATATTTAAACAAATTCAAGACAATGTTAATAAAATTTTTATTAAATTCCCTGAGTGACAAAACCACCTGGAAATGATATTGCCTCATTAAATCTTTATAAAATACATGTCTGCCTGTTATTTAAAAGAATCATAACATCTCAGACAGTCTTTGATAATTCTCAAAAGGCTATAGTTAGTCAAAAACCAGAGGTAAGCAATGCTGAGTAATTTCAAGCAAGTTAAAGTGAAGTCATAATTTCCTTTTTAGTTATCTCTTCTTCCATGCTTGGACGTGAAGCACAGAGTTTATTCTTGTATTACTACTTATTTATTCATTATTATATTTGAAAGCAGATACAACTGTAAATCTAATTTTGCCCCACCTTGTGTATTTATTCAACAACTCTTTAGCTAAGCCTGCAGTAACCAGACAGACACTGTGATGCTGAGTCAGATTTAATAATGAGTGAAGACAAAGTCCCCACCTTCCTACAGGCTAGTGTGTGATGATCATATTGTCTCCATGCCACGTGATAAGCACCAAGACAAACCACAGACTGACTCCTGGGAGCCAGAAAACATGGAAATACATTATGTGTGCTAAAGTGTGCGTCTTTAGGTAGATGGAAGATATGCAAAGAAAATGAGGCATGCGGTAGTGGCAATCTTCCCATGCCATCCTCAAACGCCATTGGTATTTGCAAACAGAAAGGTGTGAAAAACCGGGAGATGGAGGAAGCCCACGAGGAATAATGGAAACAAAGAGAAGCAAGTTACTGAGATCTGGTTCTCCTGAATCCATCAGCTTGATAGTTTCCCAAGATAAAAATGTATCCCTTAGTTTTCTCACAAATAAGGAAATTTCTTTACAAATAAGGAAAGTGTGGTAAAGACATTGTGTCTTGTGGATTTTCTAGGTATTGAATTCAGATAAAGCAAAGTGTTCACAGATTTATGAGTGAGCTGATAAGAGGGTTGAACAGGAGGGAGAGAGACCAGACAGTTGAGCAAATAGCTGTCCCTTCCAAGTCTCTCAGCACCCTGGTCCCACACTCCCTTGTGTCAGCCCCTTGTTCCCCACTGAACTGCTGCAATGCCTCAGTTAATCTCACCCGTACCTCTGTCATCCGCCACGCCCTTGGCTGATAGCAACAGCACTCTCTTCGTCTCTCCTTTTTGTATCTTCCGACCCTCTTTCCATGCATTCCTCTCTCTGAGCATTCATCTAATAAGTCTTAATGCTTCCTATGTGTGAATCGTCATGGTAGGTTCTTTGAAGGTGAAGGAACAACAAGGTGACCATGGCACAGTGCTGGCCATCAACTTTGAAATGGTACAAGAAACGAGAAGCACACACATGCTGAAATGCACTAAGCACTAAACTGAGATAGAGACAAAATGCTGTGGGAGGAATTCTCGGGGTGAAATGTTTAGTCTCCAATTAGGAGGTGAAAGGGGAGAGCTAGGGAAATCTCTGTTCCCTGGGCCCAAACTGATGGGCAGAAGTTGGAGCAGTCAAACTGGGGGAAAGGGCACTTGGGACGGAAGTGATAACGGGACAAACCATGAAAGTGAGAACACGTAGCCAGACAAGGAATCTGTGAGCCATATTTGCAAGAACCTTGAATGCCAACCTGAGGGTCGTGGGATTTATTCATGAAAAATGCAGAGCCCCTATGTGTTCCAGAGCTGCCACTGTCAGAGGTGAAGTTCACAATTACTGAGCAGCTGTGTGTAAGGGCATTGCCTGCTTCTCCCATCTTCCAGGCCTACCTTGCTTCCATCATCATCTATGGCCTCCTATCCTTTGTCCACTGGTCCCTCTATTTTTTTAATCACATTTTTAAATTATTTAATTATTAGTTTTTAGAGAGAGAGAGGAAGGGAGAAAGGGAGAGAAACATCAATGTGTCATTGCCTCTCATGTGGCCCTCAATGGGGAACTTGGCCTACAACCCAGGCATGTGCCCTGACTAGGAATTGAACCAGTGACCCTTTGGTTCACAGCCTGCACTCAATCCACTGAGCTACACCAGCCAGGGCTTGGTTCCTCTATTTCTGAGTCAAGACATGGGTCTGACAGACCAAGGGCAACAGCCCTTACACAAAGACTGAGCAAAGGTGGTTTGTTTGAGGTAGTCACCAGCCTACACAGAACACCTGAACCTAGAATTCCAAACTATAAACTGTAAAAATAAGCCAACAGAAGAAGCTAATTTGGGCCTTTTGAAAACTATGGAATTTGCTGAAAAACTAGAAATTGAGAAGTTATTGTTGATAGTCATGACCAAGGAGATTATTATGTAATTTAAACTTTTTTCAATCATGATCCATTAATGCATTCATTTTGGGGACATTGTTTACTTGCTTATATTTTAAATATTTCCATCACCTTCATTAAAAAGCCTATTTTGAGTAGATTTTTAAACTAAACATTCTTTAGCTCACTCTAGGCCCAAAGGTAAATTTTATTTTGAAATATCTGGTGGGATGGGTTTGGGGATCAGAGAGCTAAGGTGGAAAATGAACGGCTATTTTAGTATTAAAGTGATAAACTTTTAAGCAAATGTAGGTGCCTTTTATTCCTTAAAGAAAGACAAATACAGTTTATCCACATTTATGGATATTTATGGAAAGGAATTAGAAGAGCAATTTTGGTTTCAAACATACCAAGCCTCATTCCAATTATTCTTTTTAAGGGCTGACTTGGAATGGATATGCATTAAGAAATATTTATTACTAGATATCATCTCATTCCAGAATGATCTAAAGCCACTTATGAAGATAAACACAATACAGAAAGAACACATTAGCCAGAGCAAGTGAGAAAATAAAAGAGGAAAACAAAGAAGAAAGAGTGAGGCTAATACATAAGTGTGTGTACATGCACTTGTACTTGTGTTACACATTCGTAGGACATGTGTGTTCCCTTGTACCTGCTGTGTGTCCAGATAACTTAGTATTGTGGATGCTGTTGCTTCTGGTGAAAAAAAATTCCATAAACTCTGAATACACATGTGATTCCTACCTTTTTTTCTGGTATTCATACCCAACTCCCATCTGAAGGACGTCCCTCATTCACATGCAAGGTCTTTGAGCTTCCAAGCAGAATTGATTCCTGCAGTATATAAATCTCAGGCCTGATCTATCAGAGCTAACATTTCTCTCACCAGAAGTATTGGTGCAGATGACTCAATGAGAGCCAATGAGATTTTGTTGGACTTTTACAGGAAATAAATCTCATTCCTCTCTACTGGACTCAAGCCTATGAACCTCTATCAGCTATCTTAGCATCACAAATCATATCATTTAGGACTGGAGCCATGCACGGGTGGAGCAAAGAAATGGAGATAAAGGGGGAAAAATAGGTCTTGGAGTCATAACTTGAACCCTGATCTAGACATGTCTGTAGCCATCCCTTCGTCTGAACTTTTCAGTTATGGGAACCATTAAATGCTGTTTTTGCTTAACCTTTTTTGAGGTGAGTATTTGGTCACTTGCAAAAGATGTTATTCTACCAAATACTTTTTTATTTTATTACTTATTTTTAGAGACAACTGAGGGGAGGGAGAGAACATAGATCTCACCCAGCATGCACCCCAACCGGGGACCAGGCCCGCAACTTGGGCATGGGCCCTGATCAGGAATAGAACCAGCGACCATTCACTTTGAGGGACAATGCCCAACCAACAGAGCCATGTCAGTCAGGGCTGTCCTACCTAATATTAACACAAAGATCCTTTAGCAAAGCACACTAAGCACTTGGGGATCCAGCCTCTGCTTACTTTTATAGTCCCATCTCCAGAGTCACCCACATGCAACCTATAATGCAAGCAAATGCAGAAACTGCAGTCCTAGGATGCCTTGCTCTCACATGCCTCAGACCCCTCAAACATGCTGTTTCATTTGTTCATAATGCCATTGCAGTCCTTGTCTGCTTAACTAGCTCATCTTCTAAGGATCAACTTAAAACTCACTTTCTTTTTTCTTGCCCTGTGCCCAGTGGGAATGCCAGTGACCATGTATCTGTGTGTCTTCCCTACCACCTGGAATTTAGTGTATAGTCACAGTAGTGATAGCAAACACTTACTGCGTGCTCTTTCAAGTGTTTTACATGTATTAGTTCACTTTGATCTTCTATTTATTCTCTCCATTTTACAGATGAGGAAACTGAGAGGCAGAGAGGATAAGAAATGTGTTCAGTAAATAGTAAGTGGCACAGTAGACCTGTGGACTCTGGCTCCAGAGCCCATGTTCCTAACCATCGTGCTGCGTCCTTATCCTATTTCACACTCATTGCACAATAGTGCCATCATTGTGTTGTTCAGATATTTCCACGTGTGTCCATCTGATGGAGTGTTTGTCCTACCTACTTATTTTTATATCCCAGGACTGTACACAATGCCTGCCATGATATATGCTCAGTAAAAATGTGATGAACTAATTAGTCACAAGTTCTTTTCAGTCACAATTTTTATGTTCAGAAGAAGAGAGAGACCACAACAGAAAAGCCCTATGCTCGTCCTTGGCCTTCACCAAGAATCTCTAGATGACAAAGGCCAGAATACAGCTCCAGCTGGTTCCAGAAAGAGGGCGCTCCTGGAAATTACCTAAAATTCCAGAGCCAGATCGGGGTGCTCAACCACTGTCACCAGGATTTTACCTCCCATCCCACGAAACCGCTCTTCCTAGTGCAGACCTCACCTGCAGGCGGGCTTTTTGTGGCACAGACAGCCACCAGGAAAATAATACAAATATTTCCCTTTCTATTTCTCAGTAGTCCCAGCAAAAGACCTGAGGATGACAGCCTTTTGGTTCTGTTGGTCCTGCTGAGTCATCCCTCACTCCAGGACTGTCAAAGGGATGGATGTGCTCTTCCCATTGGCCACGCCTATGTAACATGCCTATCCCTGGAACAAGAAACAGAATCAGTCCCAAATCATGTGTTCTGGGGGATGGGAAGAGGTTGCTCCCCAAAGGAAAATAAAGGTGCCAGGTCTAAAAGAAGAGAGTTTGGTTAATGGGCAGTCTAATGCAACAGGTGACTTCTGTAGGCTGTCTCCACATGAAATCAAAACCACGTTCATTTCTGTCTGC